TCAATATCATGGGGTAGCGTAGCTCCAGAATCTCTGGGTCGGTGATTCGCGTGTTCGTCATGTGCGTGTGTACTCCGCCCGCTCCATGCCAGCCGGGACCGGCACCTGCTCCGCCCGCTACGGTCTCATAGTAGCCCCAGGTTTCGTCTCCGATGGTGATATTGTTCATGCAGCCCTGGGAGGCGCCACAGACGCGGAAGGCTTTCAGCACCGTGTCCACGATACGCTGCGAGGTCTGGACATTGCCACCAACAACGGCAGCCCCTTCCGAGGGATCCAGAATGGAGTTCTTGGGGATAATAACCTGAATGGGGGCCAGGCAACCTTGATTCAGGGGCACATCGTGGCCCACCATGCAGCGGAGGCAGTAGATCAGAGCCGAGAGCGTGATCGCTCGTGGGGCATTGCAGTTGCCCCAGACCTCCACTCCGGAGCCGGTGAAGTCGCACAGTGCCGAGCCCTGCTCCGCATCAATGGTAACCTTCAGAGTGATGGGCGAGCCATCATCCATGAACTCTTGGGCTTGCAGCACCGTGGATCCAGTGCGAGCCAGCGAGTCCTGCCCAATCTGACGGAGCATGTCGCGCACTGCCAGCTCTGCGTTCTTCTGGATGTGCGACATGTAGGCTTGGACCACATCCAGCCCATAGCTGTCGATGAGCTCCGACACGAGCTGGATGCCCTTGTGGTTGGCGGCGATTTGAGCCTTTAGATCGGACAGATTGTCGCTAAGGTTACGGGTGCCCACGGCTCCCTTGGCTGTTGTGGGCGTGGTCAGGCGCTTAATGATCTGCTGCTCCTGGAACAGTCCATTCTCCACGATCAGAAAGGACTTAAAAGCGGCGCCCTCTTGTGCCAAGGATGTGGAGTGCGGCGGCATGGATCCGGGTGTAATTCCACCAATGTCCGCATGGTGTCCACGCGACGCAACGAAGAAAACTGGTCGTGATACACTCCTGCAAAGGAAGGTGACTTTTAATGGAGATGCGATCCCAGATGCGATCAGAGACTACTCACTCGTAGAACACTGGGGTGATGACCGTCAAGTCGGGCAGATGCGACCCACCGGCAGAGGGATGGTTGGCCAAGATGACATCGCCATTCTTCAGGGTGTCGCCGCGCACGCGCAGCTGGTACTGCACCGTCTCCTGCATGGCGCCCAGGTGAACCGGAATATGAGGTGCGTTGCTGACCAGTCCCCCATCCGGGCCGAAGAGGGCGCAGGAGAAGTCCAGGCGCTCCTTGATGTTCGTCGAGATGGAAGTGCGCTGCAGCACCCGTCCCATCTGCTCGGCAATGCTCATGAAGCGGTGACTGAAGATGCTCAGGTGGACCGGATCTAGCTCCGCGTTGATGCCATGCTTGCCACCGGTCTTCACATCCATTATGAGGTCTCCGAAGGCTGTCACCTGGACACTGCACTCTGGTTCAACGATGATCGTGGACAGCTGATCGATCAGCACTGCGGGTCCGGCGATCTGGTGGCCAGCCAAGAGGTTTTTGGTCAGGTAGATGGGCGCATCGAAGCTGCCCTGATCGAAGTGGATACGTGAAGTACCTTCGGCAGGTGGTGTGCTCTCTGAGCTGCGCTTGATCTCGGACTCGGGCGGCGTCTCGTTTTTTCCCAGACCGCGAATACGGATGTCGTCCACGATGATACGTCTGTTCTGTAGCACGAAGCCAAACTCCGTGCGATAGCGCTCCAGGAATGTGGCATGGAAGTCCCCATAGGCCTTCAAAAGGGGCGACTGAGCTGCCGCATCCTTTGCCCCTGTTGGAGCACACATCAAGGCGCCATCGGTGCCCTCATAGCGCAAATGGAGGAAGGGCTCCAGCTCGATCCGCCGGAATCCTTGTTCCGCCAGCTTGGCGTGGCATTGCTGGGACAGGGCATCCAGTCGCCCCTTCAGCTGCTGGCCATTGGCATCGCTGAACTCCAGACCACTGGGTTCCTGCAACTCCTGGACAACGTCGGCCAGGGCCATGCCGTAGGCGGACAGGATGCCAGCGTATTTGTGGACAACAACCTGGAATGAAACCACATGGTAAGTCATAATCATCTCATCTATCATGCTCCATTGAAGGACTCACCTTGGCAATTCCCAGGTTGCTAGCAATGGCGCAGGCGTGTTGTCCTCCCGCCCCACCGAAGCAGGAGAGCACATGGTTGGCCGTGTCCAAGCCCCGCGACTGCGTCAGGGCACGAATTGGCCTGCACATGGTCTCATTGGCCACCCGAATGAAGCCCAGGGCCACTTGCTCAATGCTCAGGTGCCTGTCATCTCCAGTGTCCTTCAAATGGCTGTTGATCTCCTCCTGCAGCTGGATGAACTTGCTCTTCGAGATCTCATAGTCCAGCGGCTCGTTCTCCTTCGGCCCAAAGATCTTGGGAAAGTATTGCGGCAGGATGCGTCCCAGAATCAGATTGGCATCCGTAACGGTGAGGGGACCTCCCTTCTTGTAGCAGGCCGGACCAGGATGCGACCCCGCCGACTCTGGACCCACGACAAAGATTCCGGAGCGGAAGAACAGCCGCGATCCTCCTCCCGCTGCCACAGTGTTGATGTCCAGCTGTGGCGCCTGAATCGTCACGCCCGCCGTGGTGCTCTCGATCACGTGCTCGTAGCTGCCCGCATACCTGGACACATCCGTTGAGGTTCCACCCATGTCAAAGCCGATCAGCGGCAGCTTCGTTTCCCGCGACCCAGTCAGTGCGTAACCCACCACACCGCCAGCGGGGCCAGAGAGGATGGCGCGGGCTCCTCGGAAGTTCTCCATGTTCGTCAGCCCGCCGTCCGACTGCATGAAGAGCACATCCACACCGGCCAGCTGGTTGTCGAAGCCAGATTTGAAGCTGTGGGTTGTGTGAGGGGAATCGTGAATGAAGAAGAATAAGTGGGAATCAGCTGGAAAGAGGTCAGGTGTGCCCTTTATTCTGCACACTACTGTTACACTCGACGCTTTCAATGTGACCGTTCTTTCGATACCCTAGAACTCATTGGGTAAAAGGGTATATTGTGTGAGGGGCGAGAGAATGAGGGAATGAGAGGGCTACAATTGTTAGTAGACAACTTTAATCAGAGCTTTGGAATGATTAATTATATCTTGAATGCTCAGAAAGATTGAGCCACACAAAATGTTCTGTGCAGCAATGAAATCAATCGCTCGATAACTCTAATAATTTAAACTTTTTAATAGTGGGGATGGATGAAGAAGGAGCGATGTTAGTACATAAGTTCAATTATAATTCTAACTGTAATTACTCTTAAATGTTACTATGTATTCTGAATTTTTAAATGTTAATAACTATTAAATTGTTGTGACTAGCGGCTTGTCGCGCTAGGATGGAAAATAAAAATACAAATATGTATCACGATTGTTGGTCATCTAATGCTTTCCCCTTAGTGGGTATTTTCTAGTCGTTCCCTCAACACCAGCTCAGCTGCTTGTTTTTTCTACCTTCCCTACCCGAGGTGTTGTGTTTATATTTGGAAATTTGTTTGTTTGTTTTGCTTATGGTCTGTGTGTTGGTGTCGGTTATCTTTATAGAGGTGCTCTCCGTCTCAACGGGTTTGTTTGAGTCCAAGAAAGAGCCGTCTCATCGACATAATTTACAAACAGAGATTAGATGCACTCACCTCGCCAGGTAGCGGTCCACATGCGGCGTCAAATAAGCCTCCGCACAGGCCGTGTAGCCTCGCGCCACCACCCGACACATGGGCATGGCCTGGTGGGAGAGTGTCACATGGCTGAAGCCCAGCTGCCGGGCAATGGCTCCGATCTGCAGCTCGTGCTCCGGACAGGCGTAGCTGTGGGCCAGCACAACGGCCACAGAGGACACGCCCTTATCGCGGGCAGCTGTCAGGGAGGCACGCACCGCCTCCACATCCACGGGTTGCACCTCCAAGTACCTTGTGCTGGCCACGCCCTCGAGCACCTTCCAGCTGTGATCTGACAGAGGCTTCATTATATAGACTGCGATTGGATTCCGACGGAAGGCACTTACTCAGTTCACAGCGATCCGCCTGCTCGGGAACAATGCGGCAATCGACCTCGACCACGGACTGGTAGAGATTCGCCGGCTTGCGGATGTTCAGGTCGAAGATTTTCGGCCTCGCCTGGTTGCCAATGTAGAGCAAGTCCCTGAATCCGCTGTTGACCACCAGCACCACGGGATCTCCTTTGCGCTCTAGCAGGGCATTCGTGGCCACCGTGGTGCCCATGCGCACCCAACCAATCTTGGAGGTGTCCACCAGCCCCGAGGCAGCCAGCTCCTGCCCCGTCTCCTCCTTCAGTATGCGGCGGATACCCTCCCTGGGTGCGTCACTGTACCGCTCTGGGTCCTCCGACAGCAGTTTCATGGTGCGCACCTTGCCGCCCGGACAGATGCACAGCACGTCGGTGAAGGTGCCGCCACGATCAATGGCGAAACAATATTTACTTCCACTTGTTGGATCAGACATTTCCTCAGATAATAATTATGTACGTGTCGCGCGGTGTTGGGGCGGGAGACTTGCCAAAATGAGCGAGCGGAGAACACTGTGCGCCGAGCAGGTTGTTCGAGCGATTCATATACACTCGTACGTACTGCGAACAAAAGCTCTCCCACCAAAAGCTCTCCAGCTAGCTAGCAGAATGAATCTTATCTCGTTCTGCTCCTAAGCACAGTTATATTTGATCTCCCTTGTGGTTGGTTATTCTTCTGGTTTTTGAATCTCTTTTGGTCACATCAGTCTGGAGATTGATTAAAGTATCCCTTTCACTGTCTTTCACTGTGGAAAGACCAATTTACACTTGTCGTAAAGATACACACAGACCAGACACTTTCACCCATATTCTTGACGATTCCGCAGCACATAAATATACATACATATGTATATACAATATATATATATATGCAAATGCATGTTTTATCTCTGTTTTACTTCGCAGCAATGAAATTTGATGACTTATTAAACGAGGCCATAAAGCGCGCATTCCCTTGCCCTCCCCCAACTCATTGGTATCGGAGCCAGTGGGCCCAATTGCTTGCCAGAGTCGGGCCCATATCAATAGGGGCTCCCAGAGGTGCATTTCGGATTGTTTTTCGTCGCGTTATGACCCGTAATGTGCACAATGTCCGGGGGCTGTCCGTGGGCTGTACGGATGACAGTCGCGGCTGTTTATGTGCGAACATTGATGGGATTTTTACGGCCGTTCCTGTTCTACACGCTGGAAACACAATCGATATCGAATTGCCTAGCATTTCCCGTAAAAATATGGAACGCCTCAAAACGATGAACTGGATATGGGAGTGGTGGAATCAAGAGGACCTGAACAAGGAAAATGGGCCATACCAGAGGAAAGAAACGAAAACCGTAAACGAGCTGTGGCTGGAGTACTTTGCTGAGCATCTGCATGTCTGGCCCTTTGAGGAGCTCTGCTCCAGGCTGGAAACGGACGCCTTTCTGGTGAGCAGCAGCATCGTGGGGAGAATGGGAGAAACAAAAACTAATCCGTGCTGCTCCCTCCGCAGGGGCTAAGCGAAGAAGTAGCGAAGCAGCGTCTGTCGCGGAACGGAAAGAACACATTTGGCTTTCCTGCCCAGCGGAAGTCCGCTTTGTGGAAACTCCTTGACAACTGTTTCTGTTGCTTTGCCATCATCATTCTGCTGATGGCGACGATCTGCTTCATCCTGTACCACGTCGAGTGCAAGCAGCACCCGAATACGACCGTCGATCCGGAGTACCTGGTAGCAGGAATCTTTCTACTTCTCATTTTGCTCCTCTCGTCAGGGCTTATCCTTCTGCAGCGAAACGACGAGTCTGCGGTGGTCAAGGCATTCGAGGATATGATGCCCATGTACTGCACGGTAATACGAGACGGCGAGAAGCAGGTCATCCTCTCCGAGAACGTGGTTCAGGGGGATGTCCTGCCGATCGCATACGGACAGCGCCTGCCGGCTGATTTGCGATTTTTCAGCTCCATCGGCTTGGAGTTGAACAATGTGTCGCTCACGGGACTGTCCCGTCCCGTGGATATCAGTCACCTGGTGAGGGAAGGGCTGCCCAAGCACTCTGAAGTAAAAGTCGCAGTCGCTTGACAGGTCTCCCCCCACACTGTTTTGTGAATCCTCTTATAAAATAAAAATAATCGAGAAATGTCTTCCAAGCCCCTGTCCAAGTGGGACTCCAGAAACGTGGGCTTCGGCTGCAGCCACGCAACGCAGGGCTACGGACTGGGCCTGGCCATTGCCTGCGGTGATGCCTCAGAGGTCGGAGCCATGGCCCGCCTCAGCATGGAGCCACGTCCGCCCAGCCGAGTGGGAAAGCATCTCAAGCAGGTGGGTTAAGGTGGCATGGCCTTCCGATAAGTTGCTCTGCTAATCCACTTACAGGTCACCTACTACGCGATCGTGGTGGGCATTTTTCTGTTCTTCGTGCTGCTGTGCACCCTAGTGGTGGACAAGCAGTCCATGATTACCACTTCCCAAGTGAACACGTGCCTGGCGATTGCCCTGATCCCGCTCTTCGTGCCCAGCCTCCTGTACCTGGGCCTGCTGCAGACGAAGAGGATTCTGCAGCAGAAGCAGTGCCACGTACGGAACCTGGAGGCCGGCAGCACTCTGGGGCTGTCCACAGTGATCTGCACGGACATGAGCGGCACAATGACCATGCAGCAGATACGGGTGTCGGAGATATTCGTGGATGCGGACCTGCTGCGGGTGGAGAATCTGAAAGAAGAGGAGATGGGGCCGCGTTTCATTGAGCTTATACGATCCTCGCTGCTGTGCAACGATGCAGTCTTCTGTCCGGGCTCGGTCCGAGTGCCCTTGGCTAAGAAGACCATCTACGGGAGCAACTATGACAGTGCTCTGCTCAAGTTCGGGCTCAGCTTCATACCCAACATTGAGCAGCTGCGGAGCGACCACGAGAAGGTGGCCAACATGAGCTACAACAGCATCGATCGCCTCCACGTGACGGTGCACAAGATTCGGAACGAGGGCAACCACCCGCGGCACATACTCCTGATGAAGGGCTACGCTGACGTGGTACTCAGCCACTGCTCCACCTATTCGGTGAGGGATGAGGAGCTATTGCTGGACGAGCCGCTCAGGCAAACCATTGCGGATCTGGCCACCCGACTGATGGAGGCGGGACGGCATGTTCGCGCCTTCGCCTACAAGGAGATCCTCTCTGACGTGGAGCGTCGCCGCTTTTCCCAGGTGAACGTGGACCGCGATAGCACTCAAGGCAGGTACATGGACTTCCTGGCCGTCAACACCTTTGCGCTGAGATTCCTTGGCCTGATCGCCACCCACGATCCGCCGCGCGCCAACATCGCCTATGCCGTGTCCAAGTGCCGCTCCGCTGGCGTCAAGCTGGTGCTTATTACCCGCGCCAAGGCCATCTGCGCCCGTGCCCTGGCCATGAGCGTGGGCATCATTCCACCGCCCAGTGAGAGCGTCCACCCTCCTGATTCGTCGACAAAACGCAACCAGGTCAGTGCTGCTGTCATCAGCATGGATGCGTACGTGGAGCAGAAGATGCACCACCAGCGGTGGAAGGTGGAGCAGCTGCTTCTAGCCCATCCCGAATTGGTGTTCGCGAAGGTGAGCGCGGAGCAACACCACATGATAGTTGAGGCCTGCCAGCGGCTGGGTGCCGTCGTCACTGTCATGGGATTCTCCGTGTACGACACGCCCGCCCTGCGTCGCGCCCATGTGGCTGTGGCCAAGGATGGGTGTGCGCCGGCGAGCGAGTCCAGCGCCGACATTGTCCTGCTGGAGAGCCCCTTCGCCAAGCTGGTGGCTGCCATCGAGGTGAGCCGCCTGATGTTCGAGAACACGAAGAAGGCGCTGGCCTACTGCCTGGCCACCAATACGACTCTGATCCTGGTGCACTTGGCGTTTTTTCTGGTCAAGATCCCCATCCGCATATTCGTCATGCAAGTGTTTATTATCGCTATCTTCGTGAACTTGGTGAGGATCCTCTGAGAGGATAGCAGGGCTATCTGATTGAACAGAGTCTCTTCCTCTCTCTCTTAAACAGCTTCCCGGACTGAGCCTGCTCTGCGAGAGCGCCGAGGAGAAGCTGATGAAGCAGAAGCCTAAGGTCTTCGACGACTTCCTGCTGAATCGTCGGCAAGTACCGACTGGAACTGGCAGCAGCGTGTCCTTTTACTTGAATATTCCCCGTATAGCATGCTCTTTGTGTCCTGTATCCTGGTTGGTGTCATCGAGGCAGCGGCCGTCTTCATCATGTACTTCCTGTTCATGGCCCGCAACGGCTTCCTGCCCAGAACTTTGGTGGGCCTCAACTTCAAGTGGCATGACGCAACGGTCACAGACATAACCGATTCGTACGGGCCAGGAATGGGTAGGAATTGAGTTACCTAAAGGCTTAATCCAAGTCCAAGTAAATCATATTATATTTAACCATTTCCTGCAGAGTCCAGAGTCCCGCCAGCGCTTGGACTGTCAAGTGTCCGCCATTTGCCTGATGACCCTCGCCGCGATGCAGTGCACCAATTTAATGTTGACCAGGACCGGACGTGCCAATCTGCTAAGCCACGGATTTTCCAACGTTTGCGTTAATCTGGCCCTCGTTTATTTGATTTGCCTTTGCGTGCTGCTGCCCTACGTGGATTCGCCCCACTGCCTGCGTCTGGTTGGGGGTGAAGAGTGCGCGTTCGTCTTCCTCCTGCCTCCAGCTGCCTCATTGGTTCACTTTTTGCAGATTGGCGTTCTTTTGGTGGTACATCTGGCCTTTGGTTACATTGCTGGCGTTCCTCGAAACTGCTCGGAGGTACCTGCTCAGACGATTCCCTGGCAGCTGGCTGGAACTCGAGACTTTTTACTAAAAGCAGCACCTTTTTCTTTTTCTTTTTCACTTCTTGTGTGAAAATGCGTCAATGCTGCTTACGCAAGTACTCGTATGTATTTATATCTCATTTACTCTGTCATTTCATTTCTGTCTCGTCTTCCCCCTACCTGAGCTGAGCTCTTGTCTAACCCAGACAGAAAAGAAAACAGCCAACTAGAAGTGTTTCGTTTCATTGTCGTTAAATATTCTTCAACAGAATTAACTTACCCATATTAGTGCAGTTCGTGAATAAAAACTCTTTGGAATTTATTTTTAAAATATTGCAATTTATTTGTGAATAGCTCGAAGCTGTGTGGTGGTGGTGGTGTTTGTTTTTGTTGTTGTTGTTGTTGTTGGAGTTTGGCTGCAATTTCTCACATTGAGTTTGCTTCGTGGGCCATTTAAGACTTTGTTTAATTATTTAATTCAAGTTGCATAATAGACATCTACACGTAATGGCATGTGGATAGGATATGAGAGTAGGACCTTACACGGATTTTACTTTCATTCAACATCAATAATTTACTTTACTGTATTTCTAAAGTTTACTTTACGCTTGTAAATATTCGTTTTGTTTTGTTTTTTGTTTTCTTTCGTTTCGTTTCCTTTTGATTAAACTTTTTCTTTTTGGGAACATTTATCGATTAATGCTTGTTTGGTAGTTTGGTTGTTTGTTATTGTATATCGGTTATCGCTATGTATGCTTGTATGTGCTTCCTCTTGATATCGTTCAAGTGTAAATCTCTAGCTGGTGGAGTTCCGGGGAAAAGGTTAATATACATACATACATATGTAGGTATCTCTTAAAGTGCAACATAGAAACGGTTCCGATCAAATTCCCTTATGTAGTGTGACTATCAATTCATTATCTAGATTCTAGAAAAACACACACAAAGACAGTAATCCGAAGCATCGAAGTCAAGTGAGGGATGGGGTTAATCTAGCTAGGCTCAGACCAAAGCCATATCCGTTTCAATCCCATCTTTATTTTATTTATTTATTTATTATTCATTTATTATTTTAATCTGAACAAAATATAACTCTCTCTCTAGGTAATCGCTCTGCTTTCGATGTGCTGAAACTTTCCGTTCTTGAACTGAAACCGAACTATCTACATATCATATCTAGTAGCATCTGGATTTAACCTGCACACAAAGCTCTGGGTCTGAGGGGGCTAGGACTACACACTACTCAATCAATCAATCAATTAATCAATCAATCAGGCAAAGTAAGCTGAAGGCGGTGGGATCTCTCTGATCGGGGCTCTGTCTGTCTACTCCATAGACGTATACGTAATACCATTTGAAAGCGTACGAGTATCGTTTCTATCTTTGACTTTGTCTTCGTTTTCTTTACTTTACTTTTCACTTGTTTTGTTTTGTTTTGTTTTGCTGTTAAAACTCTTTAAAATTATTATCTCATTAATTTAATAGTTTTGTTCGGTTTAATCTTAGTTTATGTATGTATATTTAAGTACACACGCACACACACATATAGTTGTATATATTTTTATATGCATGTATGGATGTGTGTTGCTTGTATTGTATATAAGTATTTTTGTATGGTACTTGTGTGTTCGGTACTCGAATTCGAATCAGAATCCGAAATCGCATTCGTTTAGCATTCGTATTTGTGTGTATATATTTAGTTAAAGTAATTTGTTTAAAGTAATTGCGTTTACATTTTATTTCTATTGAAGTTGCTCTCTTTAATTTGACACTAATTTTAGGTTTCCATTTTTGTTTTAAACTTTATTCCATTAAATTAAACATTTCTTTTGACTTTTTGTTTTGGGTTTTGTTTTTTTTTTTGGTTTTGGTTTTCTTCTGTGGAAATAAAACATCGCATTGAAAATATTCGCTCCGTTTATTATCAGTAAAAAATAAAATCATGTGGCACGAGCACGAGTGTCCACTGTAGACGCGACACATCTCGTTCGTATAAGTTCACAGTTAGTCCCTAAAGATCGGTCATATATGTATGTAAAGTCATGCGTACGTCTGTGTACGACTGTACGGGTATTCATCGTGTACGGTTACGGGTACGGAGTACATTTGCGGTATGTGCATACATTTATGGCTACCGGGGAGGGGTTCGGGGATCCATATCCATCCTCAAGATCTCTTTAAAAGAAGGAGGCGGGGCACATCGAAGGCGGTCGGGATGGACTGGGACCGTGGTCAGTGGGCGGCCGCAGCCGCAGCTGGAGGAGGTCACTGGGTTAGACGCCTTGGGCGAAACTCTCCTTGGACAGCGCCAGGAGTGGCTGGTGCTGGTGCTGGTCCACGGCCTGGTGGTGCGGAATGATGAAGGGCGATGCCAGCATCTGCAAGGGCCTGCAACGGATTTCATTCGATGGGGGAACACTCTGGGATGGGGACGTGGAAGGCTGGAAGGGGGGCAGGGGTGCACTCACTCTGCATAGCTGGATGCTGTCACCACCGGCTGTCGGACCGAGTGCAGTGCCTGGGAGTTCTTGGCCCTGGCCAGCAGACTCATCACCGTGCGCTTGGTGGGATTCATGCCAGTGCGGGGAACGCCCAGCAACGGACGCTTGCGTCCCAGGCCGCCACCTGCCAAGAGCCGAATCGGATTTAGTCTTCGGCGAAACGGAAGCCGGAGCGGGAGCGGGAGCTGCAGCTGGAGCTGGTCACTCACCTATGTTGATGGTCTTGACGTTGCGCAGTGCGGGATGCAGGAGGGCTGAGCCGGGTGGCTCCAGCAGCGTCAGCGTGGATGTGGCTGACTCCCCGTCTGCACAGATGGGCAGCTGGAGGGACGCGGCGCTCGCCTGGGTGGTCGGAAGCCCGGCCAGGGTTGCCCCCACCCCGGCCGCCGGCTTCAGGAGTCCTCCGATTCCGGCTGCTGTCAGCTGGTGCTGCAGCGCCACTGCCATGGCTGTGGTGTGCACTGTGGATGGATGCAAATAGGGGGAGGATGGAGCGTGAGTGACAGCTTGAAGATTACTGAAAGGATGGAATTGGCCTGGGATGCGGTCCCCAACCAGAGGAGGGTCCCCAATCGGAAACAATAATTTCCTATTATTCATCCCAATACCAGGACCAATTCCTCCTCCAGTCCGGACTTACGTGCCGCTGCCGCTGCCGGAGTGGCCTGTCCGGCCAGATGCTCCCCGCAGGCTGCCGCTGCCGCTGCACTCGCTCCGCCGTGGGCCTGCTGCAGGAGCTGGTGGAAGTGCGACGGCTGGGCGAGGGTGTGGGTGTGGGCGTGGGCGTGGCTGTGGGGATGGCCGTGGTGATGGTGATGATGGTGGTGCTGCTGTGGATGGGCGTGGGCATGGGTGTGGGCATGGCTGTGAGCATGCTCGGTGGTGGTGGTGATGCTGATGCTGCCGCAGGCGGGCGAGCAGTCGAGCTTATCGGGCGAGAGGCAGTCCATGCCACTGATGTCATTGTCCGATTTGTCATCGTTCGAGGTGTCCATGTCCGCCAGGCCACCGGCTAGCCCCCGGCATGTGCTGACGCTCGGATTGGGATTGGTGGCCGTGCCTGTGCCTGGGCCTGTGCCCGTGCTGTTGCTGGTGCTGGTGGTGGGGCTCTGGGAGTCGTCCAGGTGAGTGGCCAGTCCGGGCGTGGACGTGAGTGCTTGCATCTCCCACATCTGCTCCTGCCGAATGTCATCGTGGTAGTCCTGTGAGGCAAAGAAATGTATCAACTGGGAGGTGCACTGGGATTAGCCATGGCGCACAGCTCAGTCTGGCAATTAAATTTAATTCTCGCTTTTCTCCTTCCTTTCCTCCCTCCCTCCCTCTCTCCCTCTCTCATTCTCTCGCAATCTCTTTGGTAGTCTTGCACTGTCTCTCGTAATAAATGCGAATTTTATTGGATGTCAATTAAAAGTTTTCCGAGTGCGACCCGGACACAGCCCCACCTCCAGGCATTGCCAGGCATTTCCTCGCCTGCCCGCAGGATGCGTGCGCGTCGAGGCAGACACACACATATCTGGGAGTGCTTAATGCAATTAAATGGGCGGAGCTGGGCGGAGCTGGGCGACCAGGGAATGTGGGCAGGTGCAGGCCACCTTTGGGAGGAGACACACCCCAAAGTAGGAAGCGAGCGGAGTCGAGTGGATGGATACACACACATTCCATTAACCAGTTCACTTGCTTATGAGTGTCTCTAGATTTAGCACCGATTCGGCTGCAACATATACCTTCCACACTCATCACTCTCTCGTTTTTCACTCGCTCCACTGACTCCCCGGCATTGCCGGCACACATAAATCGCGATTGCAGATGCCATAAACAATTTCCAGGCAGGTGAGCGAGGCTTAAATATGTCGCAGATGAGATTTGTTTAGACACTCGACAGTCATGTCCTCCCTCTGTCACACACACACACACACACACACACACACACACAACACGTTGAAGCCGCAGCAATTTATCTAAATTGAAACAGTTTCTCGTTGGCTTTGTTTCTCTTTCTCCCCCTCTCTTTCAGAGATATCAAATAATTTCTATGCAAATTTTCATCGTGTGTAATCAGATCGGAATAACTCAGGGGGGGTATAGCCAAAGCGATGCCTGCACCAGGAGACAGAGTTTTATGGTGCCGACAGCTGCCAGTCAAAGGTTGGCCAGGGACAGGATGTCAATATATTAGATTACCCTCAACCACAAGCTCCCATCCACATTCACATTCACATCCACAGGTAGATACCTTTCCATGCAGATGCTGGCAAGATGCTTAAGCCCTGGCTCAAGGCAACTGACAGAGCTTAGTTATGTGCGAAGTGAGAATTGAATTTTTGGGGGCACACATACGAGATCAAAGCAGGAGATTAGCGGGCACACACACACACATACACCTAACACACTCATAATTATAAGCAATGAGAGCCATCAGTTTCAGAGTAAAGTGGGCCATAGATCTCTGATATCCCCAGTGGACATATGTTCATATGTGTGGTGTGTATGTAAATTTGCATGTCTTTTGGAGCATAATGCTCCATATATCCCCTCATCTTTCGCCAAGCAAGAAGCTGTTTTCCTTATGTCAATATGGCATGAGGAATGATACATTTGGCGGGAATTTAATATACCAAAAAAAGCAGCAGATATCTAAAATATTTCCCCTTAACAGCATATTAAACTCTCCTCTGATGTTCTGCCCCTTTACATACATTTTTTGTATGCGTATGTCTGTGGTTCCAGCATGGAAGAGAATTCTATTACCAGCCAGCTAAGAGAAGAATTTAACAATAAGGAATTACAGATTAAAGATCACTCGGACAACGAGTCGTATGCTGCTCATTTGTAATTCTCTGATAAATTATGCTATGGGTCATGCCAAATGCCTTTGCAACTGCAAAACTCCTCGGATAGCTGTCCTGGTAGCCGTTTTAAATTGCTTCGTGCCCACCTACCACTTGCATCTTAAAGAAGATATAAATATATAATATGCGCTAGCTCGCTCGCTCGCGAGCCAAGTGAGGATGTTGCCCAGAACGTGGCCTGGCCTGCTGGATATAGATAGTAAACGGTGAACATTTGTGCCTCAAGTGGAGCTGGTGCCACAAATGGAGAGAGGGAGAGAGAGAGACTACCACACACATACACGAAGGGAGAAGGCGATGGCGATGGCGTGTCGAGAGCCACACAATGGACGCTGGAAGATGCCAGCTCAGCCAAGTTTGTGCAACGCGTGCCGTGAGGCAGAGGAATGGTCCAGGCAGCACTTGCTGGAACCGAGTTGTGTGCTGAGGGGCTGGGAGTAGGGCTGGGAAATGTAATTACAGCACAATGCAATTTAGTCAGTGCGAGGAGGAGAGACAGAGAGACACGTACAGAGAGAGAGAGAGAGAGAGAGGCGGCAACTCGCTGCATGGCAAAAGAGAACACGGAAGCTGTAGTCGATAACGAGAACAACCTTGGAGATGTCCCGCTCCTCCGGCATCCTGCCTCCTGCCACCTCGCAAAGCATCTTTTGCCATAACATTAAGTCCGCATGCTCGACAAAACTTAAAGATGTTCATTTGCCTGCCCCCGGGGGGAGGATTGGGCGAAACTTTAATCATTAATGGGTATTACAAACAAACAAACGAACAAAACAAAAGAGAGCACCAAAGGAAAGCCCCCCGAGTCCGAAATCAAAGAGGGGTCCCCACTACTCACCGGAACCAGAAACCGACGCACTTCCGCCAGGGCATAGGCGATGCGGGCATGGGCCTCGGCCGGTGCGGCGAACGTCGATATCTCCACGTGCAGGTCCTCGAAGAGATGGGCATACCGATTGTCGCCGCTGGCGCGCAGCTCCTCCTCCTTCCGCCGGTCACGCATCGAGCCGCGGCCCAGCACGGCCATCTTGCACATGGTGTCCTCCTGGAGGCGCTTCATCGAGTTGCCCTTGGGTCCCAGCAGCTTGCCAACGAAATTGAACTGCAAAATAAACGGCATGCCGTCTGGCGTCAGTAATCAGACAGCTCCAGCTAAAGTTCCAGCTCCAGCTCCTGCACCTGCTCCAGCTATTGGCCGCCACTCACCTTGGGGTGATCCCTCACGGGCACGGCCACTTTGACGGCCACCTTCACGGGCTTATCGCGCGTGATGTCCAGCATCTTGAGTTTCTCTGTGCGGAAAATACAAGGAAATGCAATTAACTTTCATGGCCAAAAAGTAGGCGAATCGATTCTATCTCAAAATACCCGATTGAGCGACAAGTCCGCGCCCCATGAGTATGCCAGGCACATAAAAAGTTCATGGCGATAATCCCGAACGGAACTGACTTGTCAGCTCTCCTTCCCATTCTGCCAGAGACATCGCTGAGACATTTGCAAACATTTGTCGAAACCTTTAAGACAGCGTTAACCCGACCAGAGATGGATACACGTATCCCTACCCTACTCCGGCTACTCGGGTCTTTGTAATTTTTCTCTCAGTTTCAGCTGTTTGTAACTAATTAAGCAAAATGCTTCTGCACACCCACAGGAGGCGAGGAGGCGTGGTGCAAGTGTGGCATGGAAGGCGGGATAAATCTGTTGACAAGCCCAAACATGAAAACATTTTTGTTTGCTCTTCAGCTCAGGCGCAAGTCTTGGCAGGCGGCAAGGACTAACGGGGACACAGACACAGACAACAACCCACAGCCAGAGTCTGAGAGTGAGAGAGTATAAGAGATGGAGAGAGAGAAAGAGAGAGAAACACAGACAGAGACATCGTCACTCATTAGCAAGCGAAATGGCTTTCTTAACACCTTTTGTCGTTGCCTTTTGCATGAAATGCAACATTTGCATGTCTCCTGCCCCCCTCCCATTCATGGCCCATCCACAGCCATGCCCCCTCCCGCAGCCATTGCGACCCTTATAGACTCAACCTATGCTGTCGCCGGTGCTGCCTTGTCAGTGGCAGGAACATGCATAAGTAGCTGGCAGATGTCAGCAGAGTGCACTTTGATGGGGCAGCCCGGAGCCAGCAGCCAGGGCCAGGTAGGGGGTGGGACGGGCGGCTATTTTGAGGCAGCGGCAGTGGCAAGTAGTGCAAGTGCATATCTATGTTGATTGCTCAACACTGCAGCAGCAGCAGCAGACGCAGCAGCAGCAGAGGTAGCAGAGGTGGCGAGGAGTATCAAAATATTTATGGGAACCACATAAATACCAGCCCCCCATCCGCCTTTGGCTTCACTGCAGCCGCTCCTTCCGCTTGATTAATTACATTCCGTAAAGTTATCCTTGATAAAAGGATTTCCGTGTTCTGCTCCTGGTTCCCTGTTCGGTCGGAAATTAGATTAATTTCCATTTCATTTAGCAATTTATTGTATCTTTGTATTTTTATATATATATATGTATGTACATCTGGAAAAGTCGAGAAAACTTTCTCTGTGCTGCTCTGTAGCCGCAATTAAATGCATTTCACCATCAATTAAAGCCAGTTCCAATAACTTTTCACTTCATTTCGAATTTAATACTATATGTAGAGGCTTATGTTTGCTTTAATCGAACGACATTTTCACAATTATCGCGTTGGATCCCGCGAACGGCAAATGAGTGTAAATGGGCTTGACGGGCATGTCGATAGGTAGGGTAGGTGGATGGGGGAGGGAGATAATTGCATAATGACTGCAGCTGGCCAGCCGCAAAAGAGTTTTAAATTCTTCTCTTGGCCATCGAGTATGGAAATTTATTGATTTACCTGTCCTGTGGTGTCCTTTCCAATCGTTTTACATCCTGCCAGTAGAAACGGCAAAACCAATAACAATAATAATAATTACTTTTCGCTTACGGCCATGGCCATAATTATTTTAGCCGCCCGCATGCCCTTACAGTTTTCCGCATTTCCCAATTTCCCTGCTTTCCATTTACCATTTTCCATTTTTGGTTCGACATTACAGTGATCGGATCCCATGGCACGAACACGAGTAAGTACGAGTAGGTAGCTGCGATTTTGGCTGGCACAGCCTAATCTCCACTAATTTATGGCCCGGACGGCCATTAACGTAATTAGGTATGCATTTCAGCTCCACCTGGACCTGAGGGCTCCCCCATCTCTGCCTGCACTTATCAGATTGCAGCGAGGGATACTGGCGGAACCGCTGGCCGTTGCTCCTGGCAACCAGTCAAACACTGAGGGGCGTGCGCACCCACACCGACAAGCACCTGATGGTGTAAATCAGATTTAAATTTCAACTTGCCACAGCAACAACAGTCCTTAGCAACTGCTACTAGTACTTCCTGCTCCCCCCATCCCACTCTTCCCCCGGGACAGATGCTTAACATTTGCTCTGTCATTGCAATTGTTTCCGCTGCCAGTTTTTGTTGCCACCTTTTGTTGGAGCTGCTGCACTGCGAAAAAAAAACACTAGCCACGAATAACGAGTTTGGCTTGGCAGCTACTTGGGCGAGTTTAAAGCTTTTGCCATTAATGTTTTTTTACTTTAATTCGTATTTAATATTCGCATTTGAGGGAGCGAAATGTTGGTAACCAAATCTTTATATTAATATATATTCACAGGCATTCGTTTTCCTTGGACGTTGCTCTGTCATCGATCAGACAAGTATTTGTGTATTATAAAATTATGTATAAATATTGGAATATTGAAACACGACACTGTGTGTGCCCCCTTTTTTTTCCCGCAGTGTGCTCGTTTTTTTTCTGTCTTGTTTGCCGCTGCTGTTTGCCATATTTTCCACATTCCTTTTGTGTGCTGCCTTCGTTTGGCTTTTCCAGGTCATTTGCTCATCCGGAACAGCGGAAAGGCACTGTCCGGAGCGAAACGCCTGCCCTGCGCTGCTCTGTCCGTCTCTGACTGTCTTTCCCATCCCTTTCCCCTCCTGACTGTTGCTTTGTCGCTGCCTTGGGGGGCAGGCACTTGTGCCGACACCCCCTCTGATCCCATCTGAGCCCCAGCCGGAACCCTCTTCAGAGCGATGACGTTGTCGTCGGCATGATTTACAATCCTTTTACGACTTCAAGTTCTAGGCTGCACCTGTCCGGCAAAGGTCACGGGGGTAAGTTAATGGAGTATCGTATATTCGAATACAACCGACAAATTATTCAATTTCAAAGTTTCCTCTCCTCGACGATATGCCCCAGAGGTCGTGTCAGTTTAATCAACATTTTGTCCGTGTTAATGTCTTTGGCAATTTCTCGGCTTTGGCCAGGACAGGCGCCTTTTGGGGGCCGGTGGCCAAACCATTGATAGTCCATTTAAGCGATTTTCGACAAGGAACACCAATGATGTCTTCTCACTCTCTTTGGTTTAACATTTCCCCAGGGCCGGATTACCCCCGGAATGCGTCTCGTTAGACGAAACAAAAGTAAAAATAATCATAAAAAAAAGCGAAACAAGAAAAGAATCCAATCCTCTGCCCAGAAGCTTAAATGTCAAATGGGGCGCTCCATCTTCCTCTCCTCTCGTCTCGTCTCGTTTATTGTATCCCCTTTTTTTTATGCACATTTCCCTTCGCCCTTCTCCACTCTCCAACGCCTGTGTTCGGTGGCATCTCTCGTCCTGCCGACAATCTGTAATCCAATGTTATTTCTCTCTTTTTACTCTCTGTTTAAATTTCCAGCATTGCGTGGATTAGATTATAGGGCGAGGGTGTGCTCTGCTGCTGCTGCTGCTGCTGTTCCTTTGATGGATACTCCTGCCATATATCTGTATTCCAACGCGCCTCCCTGTGGATCCCCCCTTCTATACGGATTCCACTCCCCTTTAAAGTTCAGCTACTCCGTTAAGCTGATCCGAGTTTGTGTTGAGTTGAGTTGAATTGAATTTTGAGTTCAAATGAAAGGCAAAAAGGGACACCACCAACAAATACTACAATACATAGTTTTGTTTTGTTTGTTGTTTCCGTACATGACGTAATCGACTTCTGTGTGTTTATGATTAAATTTATCCCCACCTCAAGTCCCCTCTCTTGGTCTACGAGGTGTGTGTGTGTGTGTGTGCTTTTCGCTATCGGTAACAGCCAGTGTGACGACAGTTTTTACGATGGATGCCGGGATGCCGGGATGCTGATGCTGATGCCATGCCGAGCCAAGCCAAGTCAGGATGCCCGCTCGCTTTTATGTCCTTCCTTAACTTTTGCGTAAACAAGTCGAAAGTCGAAAAGGTGGAATAGAAAAAAGAAGTCACCCAGCCAGCACACCCCACCCCACCCACACAAAAATTTAGCAGCCAGGAGGGAAACGGAGACAGATGGAGCGGGGAGTGGCGTGTTCTAAATGCCCTCAAAGCACATAGAAAGACGACAGTACAGGACAGGACAGGGGAGAATCAACATAACGGTGGTGACTTCTCCTCGGCTTACTCTGTGCTCTCTTTGACGTTCCTTTGTACCCTGTACGGAATTGGATATGACTAGAACCTGTCCCAGGGTATACCAAGTGATGTGCCAGAGCGTTCTGCACGGACAGGAGGAAGGGGTAATACCCGAAGCATTCACAGCAAACGATAGTTAGCGATTACTAGCTCAATTCGATAGTTTCCAGTTCATGCGTATTATTCATTATAGAAATGAAGATATATAAATTTGAATATGTGACTTCCCCCCCCATTCTCTGTACTGAATTATTCAATTTTTCAACGCTCCCAAAACTCTGTCCCTGTCTGTACTCTAAGAACATTTACATACTTATGTATGCATGTGAGTGTGTACATATGTATGTATGTCTATTATGTGTGTCTCAGTTAATGTCGTCAGCGTCGCCAACTTCTCGGCAATTCTCAGCAATTATATGCATAAGCCACATACCTGAACCTTTCAGGGACCTGTCCTCCTGCGAACTTAAGCCAGCTTTAGCCTCCATCTTTTGTTGCTTTTGTTGCGGCAGAGACTGCAAAGTGAAAGAATGTGAATAATCTATATGAGCATGTAATAATAGTTTGAGGCCAAAAGGGATTCGTCCTTTCAAGTTTTCAGCTAAGCCATACCCCAACCTGCTCAGGCCGCTCAGGCCGCCCATGCCCATTGCCCTACCTTTTAGCCTGTCGGCTTCTCAGGGCGCCCCCTTGCTCCAACCCCTATATCAGCCAACATCCTGCGGTAAGCTCGTGTAAAAAGCTTAAGGAAAACTTTGTAAAATTTTTATCATAATGCAGCTGACAAAAACCCTCCAACACTGTAAATACTTACCAAAGTTCGGGCGGGGGGCGGACGAAGGGTGGGCAAAAAAGAATTTTGTTTCCAAATCTGTGGATAAGTTCCCTAATGAAATAAGCCCGGCCCGAGCAAAGTTGCTCCGACTTTCCATGCATATCCCCAGCAGACAATCGAAAGTTTTCGCATTTCTAACCCTGTGGAGGGAGCACTTGCCTGGCCCAAAATCTTTATGAATATTGATTGCTGCCTTCGGTGATCCCGGAGCCTTGTGTATTCAGGGCAAAATGTGTGGCTCCCTGTCTCGGTCTCTGGCAATCCTCTGCCATTCATCGAAACCAAACATCTGCCCCATTTGCGATTGTGAAGTATTGGTTTTCATTTCAATCGGCAGTCGGCAAATATTGCGGGCAAATTTCGAGCGACATGAAAGAGAAACTCTATTCAAAACAAACTCATCTAGTTCCCTATCATTCACACACACCCAAAGTGGCAGTGTGGAAGAGTGGAAAAGAGGGACAACCACTTGTTTGGCTGTCGAGGCGTAAGTGGTGACCCCGATGCTTTGTGCTCAGGGATAATTGGCCAGTATGCCCCATTAAATGTCAGAGGCCATCAACCATAGACCATAAATCCACAATCTCCATATCTGTCTGTCCTATTTATGTATATCTGCTGCTGGTCCTGTGCAGCAATCGAGAATCTAAATTGTTGAACCATAAAACATGAATTATAATTTTCAGTTCCATAAAACCCTCAGTCATGCTGCTTAATTACCTTTTACGATGATTTGATATATTTGTCTGACAAATTTGTCCTCCCACAGCACACAGCCCACATTCCACCCACGGGCTGTTAAGGCCAGGAGGAACGGAACCCTACCTGGAAAATTGATGAAAGCTCGAAAACTGCAAGTGTAGGGTTCGGCACGCGGGTGAGACTTACTGCCGGAAAAGGAAAGCGGAAAGGGGGCAAAAGTTCTTAAAATTAATGACAGCTCAAGCGCCTCCAAATCTGCGCCAATGTTTATTTCTGTTTTTGTTTTTGCTTTTCATTCTCCTCTGCTGCCTCTCCCGCTGCCGCCTTCCCTCCTTTTTCGCTACTGAGTTTGACGGATTTGTGCGCAGTTTCAGATTAATGCTGCGATTATTGTTTACCGTTGGAATTACGCACAGTGGTACGGATAGCAGTTGTCGGCAGCTACATATATGTAAGATATGCAGGTACAAATGACAAGTGGAAATATCAAATGGAAATAATATAAATTCAAATTCACTCGATATTATTTTAAGCATATTAGATCGTAATTGTTGTTTCGAACCACTGTGCACTGTAAGCCGTGGCCGCCTTCCTGTCTTTCTTATGCAAAATTTAACCCACTGTAGAGTAGAGTAGGTCGGTCGGCCCGCTTACGGGGGGCGGTCGGTGCGGTGCGGTGCGGTGGGTCGCTTACTTTATTCATTCCAGACCAGACCAGACCCACTCTCCCTTCCGTCATCGGCGACGTCTTCGCATCCTTGCACTCGTTCATCTCGCATAGTGCCCTCGCCCTCTCTCTCTCCCTCTCTCTCTGTTTCTCTGTACCTCCGCCTTCGTACCGCTCGGTCGGGCGATGCCTTTGTACAGCTTCGCACGCACGATTTAAGGATAACGAGGATGGAATGCAGGAAGCGAGGCAAATATTTACACAGTTGGATGATTTAGATAAAGAAGACATGAACATGAAGAAGCCGACGACCGAAGCGATGGGTAAGGGCATGGCCATGACGAGGGGCGAGGGGGTGCAAAATAAACCCGGGGACATTTTGAAAACTGGGACAGACATTATAAAGGGATAAAGAAATTTATATACAGTGATGGGGACTCGGGCGATGGCCGTGATTGGGTGCCATCAGTTCATGAGACAACAAATTGTAATCCAAATTAATGGCATTATCTATGTAGTTGGGTTCATCTTTATCCTCATCCTCCTGCTGCTCCACTCGCCCGCCCATTGACTGCTGCAAATTGTAGATCGTATAATACGTACGACTAATGTATGCAATAATCTATTTATGGCAAGCAGCGTTTGATTTAAAGTCCTATAAGGCATATTCACTGCCTGTCTTTTGGTATGCAGAGCCACGCTCACCTGGATAATTTATTCAGGCGAATATTGCAGTCACAGCAGCAGCAGCAACAACAGAAATACAAACGGAAAAAAAAAACTCGGATGGAAATGCAAATAGCTACAACACAAGCACGCACACAGCTACAGATACATACCACCTACAGACATAGACATAGACATATATACATATGTATGTATGTACGAATGGACCGGCATGAGTGAACGGAAACTCTATATATTCTGCACTCTCCACTCCTCCAGCCGAGATGCTGCGATGAGCAGCGCTGCATGTGAAATGGGCCCACTTGAATTTTGTATCTGCATTCTCCCCCAGCTACGTGTCAAATCCATCTAAAAGCTGAAGGGCTCACCCAGCATCGCACACCCACCCTCAGATCTGCATGTAAATGAATGTATAACATATTTCAGCAGATTCGCACAACATTTAAATTATTTGGGCATTGTGTCAACATTTCAAATTCCATAAAGTTCGGCCACCCGCTGCATGCCATACCACATTCGGAACAGAATGGCCAGCATAGAGGAGGCGACTGGGCAGGGGGTCAGAGTGCCAGTGGCAGGGTGGCAATCGAGAACGGAATCGAAATCTTTCATTGAAATATCTGTGCCTCTCCAATAATTCCCAGATATGCTCTTTGCTGTGCATCGTCTGTTTATTTGCTGTGAATTTATTTGAACAACTGGCCAATATGAGAATATAAAATTGAAATATTAAAAATGATTTTGCAGAGCCAGAACCAGCAGAATCAGAAACAGAACCAGGAGCAGAGCAAAAGCAGGCGTGGCAGAGGCAATAACCAATATGCACCATGCACCCACCTCTCAGTGTTTGCCTCCTAAATCCAAGTGAAATTCCAGACCGGAAATTGTTTCACAAACATTGGCCAATTAATTTGAAAAAATAATGGAGAAAACTTTTCAAACGAGTGTATAAAGGAGTATAAAAAATGTATTTATAATTGAAAGAGCGGTACAGGGAGAGAGAGAGAGAGAGGGGAAAATAGATAGAGCGATGGGCAAGGAAAAAGATAGCAAGCGGAATTAGAAGAGCCTGGAAGAACTTTATTTATTATATTTAATCAACTAGCGGAATGTTTACTTGACGTAAAGTATGTTCGCTGGATTCGAGGACTAAACTTTGGCCTAAAGTTGATTCCAAGATGGAGCAACCCCTTGAATTTGGAGATGGTGCATTTCAAATGTACATAATTCATAAATTAATTGCATTCATGCATTTTGTCAGTTGTCGGAATATGCTTCGAAAAATGCGGTGATTTAAAAGTCAGAAGTATTCAGCCTTCAAATTTGAGATGGTGTCCAAGGCTGGTTCAATTTCAGGAACTTCTATGTTTCAATAATGAACCACAGAATATTACCTACAAAGAGTATATTAAAAAGGGGACTGAAAAATTAAACTAAATTTAATATTATTTCAACGTTTTAACCCCCTAACCCAATAAATGCACACGCGGTCATGTGCATGCAAATATAGAGACGCAGAAGAAAATGGACCACAGGTGGGGGGTGCATTTCCCGAGGAAGTGGTGTATGCCAGTGGGATGCCAGTAGGGTAGCTTGATCGCTCGTTAGCCCTTCGAGAAATATCCTCATTCCCGCTCCTGTGCGGTCTAACCGACTGGACTGACTAACTTTGTCGTTTTTAAGCACTTTTCTAGCAAACAAACACAACGCTTCCACACGTGTGCTACGCATAGCAGCCGAATACTACTGTTCGTACATACAAATGTATAATTCGCCCACAAAAAAGTAAAACTTTTCCCTTTATTCCCAAATAAGTTGGTCCCAAAAAACACACAGCAAAAAAGGGGCAGTGCCAAAAGGTCTTCCTCGCAAGCATTTTCCTTCATAAATAAATTTATGTTTTGAAATTCACTCACTCCTCGCTGTTGGGTGCAGAAAAGGTTTTTTGTGGTTCAACGGAGTTGTGGCCGAGGTTCGGGTTCAGATTCAGGGATGGCTTCTGGCTTATAAGAATGGTTTCCACTTCCATTTGGAATCCAGCGCACCCCCCCCATCTATCGCACCGACCTAACAAATTATTCTTCATCAATAATCATCTGGGTAATAATTTATCTAAATAAGTTTTATTTGGTCAGGTCTTGGCGGAAATCACCGAATAAATGGCTTTCCACTCTATTTCCGCTCTCCCTGCTGGCGATGAGAGTGAGATAAATCAAAAGCAATTACATTCATTTATTCTTGTTTAGATGACCAACCACCCCCCGGCACCTGCCTTCCCGCCGTACCCCACTTCTCACTCATCCATGTCCATGGGGGAATTAGCCAGTTGGTCCGACTGTTTGGACATATTTTCCCCTGATGGCTCGTACTCGCAGTGGCTTGTGCCACTGCCTTGGTAAATACTCCCACTCGCATCTGCCCGGTGAATAATTCAGTTGCTTCTGCTGAGCCGTAATTAAGTTGTAACAGGTGTGAAACAGAAATCTCTCCCTTATGGTTCGCCGTCGAACGTGTCAGTGTCTGGATGGAGCTGTATCTGTGTCTGTATCTGGATGTGGATCTGGGTACGCATCCATCAGAAATTCAATATTTACCTAGTTAAGTCCAAAATTAGCTCGGATCTCGATTCGAGCTGCGTGGATTCGCCTGCGGGGCTAGACTCTCGACTGAGTTTTGTTTAATGGGCAAAGTAATCCGGTGGAGGAGCACGCATTTGTCTTAATTTTCACAGTCACTTCAATTTTCACTTTGCCAAATGACAAATGCCTGAGGGCGCTTATTTCATTGCTTATTCATACGCCGTAACCATTCATTTCGCACGGATCCACGGGCACGGAGTGGCATGGAAATTCATCGGCGCTTCATTAAAGATGCATGCCTAAGGTGCGACGACTCGTTTCGCTTTTAATTTTGGTCTCGCAAACAAAAACAATGCTGCAGAGGCTGCTGTCGCTGTCGCTGATGCTGAGGCAGCGCTACCGCCAACACCATCCCCACGGGGATCCACCACAAATGTCCTGCGGCACGCAGCCCACTGAGAGATAATGTCATCCGATTTCGGCTACCCAAACCGCACGCGTGAAGCAGTGCCAGCGCACCAGAAGCAGCGATGGAACCACAGCGAGCAGGTTTACTGTTTTTATTAAGCACTTCACAGACGGCTCCCACAACAGCCAACAGAGATGGCGACAAAAACTTTCACTGACTGACTGACTGACTGACTGGCTCCTGGTCGGAACTGGAATGGGTTGTGTGGTGTGGCTGCGGATGTGGCAATGTCTACCCCAGCACTTGACACAAGATAAACAATTTGTCTCTCTGCCACAAAACGAAATGGGCAGCTTGGCGCCAAACACCTGAAGGTGGCTATGGATGTGGATGTGTTCGTGGTCGTGGCACTATTCTGTGCTAAAACAAAGACTCGTAGGCGAACCGCATTTCCGAGTGGTGTACCGTTCCGTAGAGCCCCCAACGCGCAACTGATGCGAGCCCAAAGACTCGCCACAGAAGACACCCAAACGACACGGACATCTGTGGATGCTGAGTCTGCGCAATCCTCCGCGCTCGCCCCGTCTCTCCATCGAATCCCCATCGAATACTGGGAACAGTGGCGCCTTCTGAATGTGCAAATGCAAGCCGATGGGCTGAACATCTTCATCAGCATTTCCGTTATTATTTAAAATGCATACTCCCCATAATTACTTTCGTCAGGGCAAAGGCCTTTGGTTGTGATTAGCAGCAGAGCAGGAAGACATCGCCTCGTCCCTGTCCTGTCCTGTCCTGTCCTGTGGATGAACCAAGAACATTCAGTCATTATTCTGGTCGAAGAAATATGCAGCTTAATTTTGAAAGACTTTATCTAATACGAGATAAGCGCAGAGTATATTAATTACAGCCAGAAGAAAGCAAACTGCCAGCCTGAAGATTCCAAAATGATCAGTTCTGTATGTGTACTGTGTCTGGGGTGCATCGTTCTCTAGCTCTGATTAGCTGGGAATTGTTTTTCAAAGAAATTGCCTTTGAACTAATGGCCCAGCCATTCCTATTCGCCCAGAATCGATCTGAGAGCGGAAAAGGAAAAGGAAAGGGCGGTGCGGTGCGGTACGGTGCGGTTCGCATTGTATTCAGATGTGCTGGCTTTAACCAAAGCTAAAGCAAATTTACATTCAAGTTTTCGGCAACATTCTCGAACCGCAAAAAGCATAGGAAAAGAAAAGAAAAGATTGGAAAGCGGGGCTGCTGGCTGCTGCAGGAAGCGTGTCCACATCGAAGGTAGCTGTTCTGGCCCCCTCCCCACCCAAAAAAAAGAATGCACGCTTGTTTATTTTCGATGCAATGTTCTGTACCCCAATGCACCCGCCCCCCTCAGGGTGTTTTTGTTGCTGCTACTGTTGCTCCCCTTGCCCGCTGCTCGGTTCCCGTCCCTTTCCCAACCAGCGTCGAATACCAAACGCTATGGGGCCCCATTTGGGTAACGTCCAATGCACCAGGGACTTCTGCTATGTATGACAAGCAAACATAAACATTGTGTGTGCGAAACGGAGACCCCAAAGTATCGCTTGCTAGTGGTCGATCGCGGGTGTGGGTGTGGGTGTGGGTGTCCAGGGGCAGGGCAGAACGAAGGATTGGAGGTGGCGCTTGGCGCTTGCCGGGGATATGCACCATGTTTGCGTGGCGCACTCTAATTAAAATTTTCGCTATGGGCTGGCTGAACGGCTGGCCGGTTGGAAGCGCTTGTAAAATGTTTTACGAGACTACAGCCAAAGCGGCGGCAAAAAAAAAATCAACCCGCCCAAAAACAGAAACTAAACAAATGACCCGACGGCTTCATTTTGGTCAAGCAAGGGAAATGTAATAAGCTCGCGCTCAAGGCGATTTCCTTGAGTACGTAATGCATGAACGAGTCGGCGGGCGGAGAGTCCACGGCGGAATGTACCGAAAGTGTACATTAACATGGGAATAATCTGAGAGCAAAATGGCCTTGCGCGCCTGCCGGGCATTTGCGGCCACTCAACCCTAGCAGAAGGACTCGTTCGGATGTGTAATTTGATTTCCCATCATGCCACCGGAGAGCATTAATTGTGCATTATAATATGTACATATACATACATCAGTTCAATTACCATTAACGTCAGATGTTCAACAAGCGATGACATTTGTGTGCTAGGCCCAGGACACTTGTTGGGAGCCGAACTGCTAGGCCCAAGAGGAGTCCATGAAACATGGCCAAGTCCCCTACTCCATCTATCACCGAGTGGGTGCACTGCTGCCCTGCTGCCCTGCTGACATGATAGAAAGTTTTAATTGATTTCCTGGCATCCCAAGCCATTTGGCCTGCAGAGCAGGCTGGGACTGAGACTCTCTGGCTGAGAGACACACTCTGCGCTGGACGCTTTGCCAGACCAGGCAGAAAATCATAATTCAACATGCGAATGGGAGCGGAGCAAACATGACGACGTCCTCGTCAAAACCGGAAGCGGAGGAGGACACAATTTTATGCCTGAGACTGACTCTAAAGTCGGTTCACTTTAGCTGGGTTCCGTTTCGTTCCGTTTCGTTTCGTTCGGTTCAGCTCGGTTCGGTTCAGTTCAGTTCGTGTTTTGGGCTTAGAAGTTTCCGCCTTTGGGTCCGGAACGCCCGCCGACGAAGCAACTAAATGCGAGCCGTAAACTTTGGCTTTAGTGCAGTGCATTCCTCTCGCCAAATAAAAGGATACAAAGTGTTTTGTGTGCTGCCTGCCATTGCTGTGCCATGGCATCGGCATCAAAACCATCCACTGGTTGGCTGTCTCTCCCACACCCACAGCCTCAGCTCAGTCGCTGCTTCTGCCGCTGCCAGGACAGAGAAGAAGATTGTGACAACACACATAAAGTTTTGTCAGAGCACTCGAGCGCGGCCCCTGACATGGGGCCCATTCCCGGCCCGTTACCACGAATAGGGCATAGGCATAGGCACTGAGATGTTGCTGCACATCGCGTTGAGGCGCGGGAAAAGCCAAATGTGCCATTTATAATTTAAGCGGGATTAAAGTTTCCTTACAATGCCGCTACTTGCCACAGAACATGCCGCGCTTCGCCAAACTTTTTTTATGGCCAAAAGGAGGTTCGGTTGGCGAAGTTGGCTGCAAATTTGACATCCAGCGCCCCAGACATGGCAAAGCGGATTAGGCAAGTGGCCCAAAGGCATGCTCGTGTCGAGAGAGAGAGAGAGAGAGCCTCGCCAGCCCTACCGACCCACCGCAAGCGATTCCAGGGTTCAACTTCGCCGACAAATTGTTTAGATTGAAAGGGAGACTACCTCGGGAGACTCGGGAACTTGTGAAAACTGCAGCACAGCCTTTCGCAACGGCAACTGCCAGGGTGGAGTTTTCCACGACAAATTGAAAATGAGAAAGCCCCCGGAGAACAGTTTTTTAGTTTCGTGGAAGTCCAAGCTGCATTTCCCTTTTGGCAAGGCGATGGAGATTTTGATGCAATTGCAGCCGGTCGCTCGGCCGTTTCTACCGCTGCTCTGCTTTTTGCTCTCTTGCAACCTCGAGGCTCAGGGTGGCGAAGTGGAAGTGGAAGACGGAAAAACAAAAGCCACGAGGTGAAAGGGGCATGGGGCAAGGGAGAATGGGAGAAAAGAAAGAACACAAAAAACATGGCACGGCAGGCAGGCGGCAGGCAGTACTGCAATTTCGCAAATTGTCTTGGAAAATGGCGAAAATGCTTTCCCCAGCAGCCGCACACCGCAACAAGCGGGCGGCAAAAGCTCTCGGAAATGCTCACGGCAGTTGTTGGATTAATTATGAAAAATACCCCAAACCCTACATACCTCCACACCCCCCAGCACGAGCAGCAGCAGCAGCAGCAGCAGTAACCGGAGCAGCGGGTGCAGCAGGAGCAGCAGAAACAACAAAAACGACACGGGTAAAGTGTGGAAATGCAACCCGACTGTCATCTGCCAGGGCACACGGCCCTTTTCATGTTGTTTTGGGGGTCAGCAACTTAATTGTCTGTTAAGTGTCACAGTGCGCACGGAATGTGTGCGGATTGCTGGCGCAATGGGAGCCACGGCCCAGTTGTACAGTCACCTGGTTTTAGAAGCAGCAGTCTTGACACGTGCCACATGCACTCGCACTCGCACCCGCAGCGACACTCACCGGTTATCTCTGTGGCACACAGGCACACACACACACACACAGATACACAGCTACAGCTACAGATACTCATAGCCTCTGACCTGGTCTAGAACTAAGCCGACCGGAGTGGGGAGGGGACCTACTTTTGACTAATCGAAGTTATCGAAAACAGTCAGGCCACTCAGTAAGCACACAACTACATAAGTGTACGCATTGATTGCCACTTTAGAGTGGAAAGTTGCCAATCGAAAGGCCGCCAGAGCCAGGGAAGCCAATCGCTTTGGACTTGATTTCTGTGCAATTGCCACTCAGCCGTACCACACGACCAGAACAGACCCATACCATGCCAGTTACGGAGCATAGGCCACCAGGCATAGTCTTGGACTGCTTCAAAATTCAGTGGCTTTGATTTTCAATTACCTTTACTTGATTCATATGCAATGAGAGCCTGCCACAGCCAAAGCTGTCTGACAGACATCCATACAAATACTCGCCACACACACACACACACACACACACACACATAGTCCTGGCACTCCCCCAACTCCCCCCACTTCATTCCCCAATTCCATTGATGTGTACGTGGCTGGATAGTGGTGGTGTTTGAAGGGGGAAAAAAAACAGATGAAGGCTTCGGGTCGTTTCGGCCTTGGGCAAATATTACATCCTGCCTCGGACATGAATGATGTGCGCTTTGTGGAGAGCCCTGTAAAACACTTAACAGGAGCCGCACAGGGGGGACGGGAATGGAATGGAATGGAGTGGAGTGGTGTGCGGGTGGTGAGGCTCAAACTGAAGCTGGATGCCCAGCCTTGCTCACAAAAGATGCCGGGCATTGATGAAGTGCTCGAACACAGGAGCTGCTGCTGCTGCTGCGGTGGCCAGCGCATATAATACACTCCATTGGGTATCCGGGCAAACACTTCACACTCTCCGCCAAATTACCGAAGCCTTGATTAACTCAGCGAAAGAGGCACGGCGCAAGGGGCCGGGGGCCAACAGGAAATTTATGGTGGAGAGTAAATGTTAAATTGGATGCATTCCCTGTTGGCCAGAAGGAGGAGCCGTAGCAGCAGCGGCATGACCTCACATTGTTCAATGGAGCAAGCTGGCTCTTGCTTGCTTGGTTTTC